GCGGAGTTCCAGGAAGGTCCACTGCGTTCCCTTCCGCGCGGGGAGGGTTTCCGGGGAGCCTTGCTCGCTGTGGGCCGCCACGCGCGAAGGTGAAAAGGGAGGTCAAGATGGGCTTTAATTTCCCACTCCACTAACGGGTCAAAGCGTTCGGTCAAAGTAGTTGCTGCTTCTCTAATCACAGCAAGCTTTCCATCCCACTCGACGGGAGTGATTTGAGAAGAGTCCCGTGCCTGACCTTGACGTTAACGGGAAACGGCTTACAATGCGACCTGCCACTCGCTGTGTTCCAAGAGCAATTAAAACGAGGGGCACAGGAGACACCCTGAGAAAGGGCCTCCGTTCCCAGCCCTCTGGCGGCCTTTGCACAACACTCGAGCCCCTCAGCAAAAGGAGAGAGGCGCCCCGCTGAAAGCTACAGAGGGACAAACTGCTGCCCGTCTGAGCAGAGGCGGCTTGCGTAACCTCGCTGACATTTGCTTTGTGACGGGATGCATCCTGTCTGAAACCTTGCTCCACTTCGACCTGAGGTGTGCATGGCCCTGAGAGTGGGGGCCTGCCCTGCCCTGCATCCATCGGCTCCAGAAGCAGCTGCCGATCCTTACCTCCCGGGATCAGGGCTTCCCTGCTGGCGGGGAAGACTTGCCCAGCAAGGCTGTGGCTGTCCCTTTCAAAGCAGTCCGCTGTGATGGGCCTTGGCCCCAGTCAAGACCAAACAGGTGCGTGAAGTCAGAAGAGGCCTCAAGAGGTGAGGTCTGAGGCCGACTTCTCCACCCCTTTCCACTCCCACACCTGGTTCTGCCCGCTCCTGTGACAAATCTAGGCCTCCTGAAACAGTGCCCCCTTGCCCAGTGTGTCCACTGCTATGGCCGCCCTCAGAAACAGGGCTGTCGGTACGGGCAGGAAAGCCCTCTGGTGAGTGGGCCAGGAGCCAGAGCCACTTGGACTGGGCTCCGAGTTCCGAAAGTTCCAAAACACATACATTCACACACAGGGGCTGGGAGCCAGGCATCAGCTCCAGGAGCAAACAAAGGAAGGGTGTAAGGGTATGAAGATGCTCTTTGTGGTTTCGCAGGAGGCCACCGTCCTCTGTCACGTCAGACCAAGGCACGTGGCTGCTTACCAGGGAAATTCACCTTTCAAAGGGGAACACCAGGTCCCCACCAAGACGCGGGCTTCCTTTGTTGGTGGTACCTTCTCCTTCAGTTTCAGAGGGCCAACCCACTTATCGAGGGCGCCGGGCACTTCTGCCCAGTGCCACAGCTCTAACCCAGCGTGTGACCCCAGGTGGGGGCTTCGTGCTTTTGCAGAAACCAAGCAACGCGTGGCCTCTGAATGCAGCGGTCTTTGGTCACCGGTGCTTATGACAGTTTTGCCAGTAACTGGCTCACCTGGATCAACCCCACTTCCCGCTAACAATTCCCTGCTGCAGTGTGTGTCCGTGGAAAAGCTTCATTTTGGGCTGAGTGCTCCCAGCCTCAGACCTTCCTACGGCTCCCAATCTGTGCAGGTGTCGTGACAGCCGTGGCCTTGGCGCTGGGGTGGAAGTAAACGCCCCGAGGCCTCAGGGAGCGAGAGTTCGTGCAGTGCTCTCAGAGAGATTGAACTTCCTTCCTGCGGGAGCGGCACACGGAGGCCCCAGGCGTTCTGAACCTTACTGTCCTCACGGTTCGGTATTTGCCAAGAAGCTCATCTTGCCCAGAGGCTTTGGGGTGAGTGCCCGTCTGGGGCCTCCCATCTCTCCGGTTAGAGCTGGCAGGCTCCCACACGTCCAAACAAGGCAGACGGGCAAACGCAACGTCCAGAGGCCCACAGGGCTTTCCCTTCACGGCCACTCCAGCTTTGCTCCGACTGCTGAAAAAGACCACATGCCCCCAGCCCAGGACCCCGCCGAGGGAAGTCAAAAGGCCCAGGAAAACCGGACACACTGACCTGGCAGCCGGCTTTTCCAGCTGAGCCACTCCTCTGACTTCTGACTCAACGCCGGACAAGAGAGAGGTCCTGGGGAAACTTCCTTTTCTGCACCACCCTAACTGAGGGGGCAGCTGCGGGAGGCATGCGGGTAAATGCTGCCCCTTGCCCCTTCGTAACGCACCTCTCACAGAACGAAGAGATGGGCCTTGGTGAAAGTAAGTGCAGCTCACATTCCTAGGCCAAACGCCCATGTGCTTTATACAAAGCGTGCGTTCCTGGCTACAACAGACACGGGTCTCCGCCCAACGTGGCAGGCTATCAAAGTGTCCTCAGATCCCTAAGCTAGCCAGCCCAGCCCCGGCAGCTTTGAGCCACATGAACTCTCTATCCCCACACAGGTGTCTTCCTTGAGGAGCCCTAGGGCAGCGTGTTAGGCGCCAGGGTTCAAACTCACCAGTGGGTTCACAGAGAAGGATGAGGGGGGCTGCTCCCGTGAAGACAGACAGCCTCAGGGATCCTACAGAGCGGCTGTCCGCGGTCCGGAGGGTTACCAGGAATCACAATCGACTCAGTGTCAGGGCCCAAGTAATACTTAGGACCTCTGATGGTACAGTGTGTTAAGCTAACTACAGGTCGCTGGTTCAAACCCACCAGCAAGCAGCTCCGCAGGAGACGAGGCCATCTGCATCCATACAGACGCACAGCCTCAGAAATGATGTCCCTCTCCTCCCCTGTCCTACAGGGCCATCAGAGTTGGAATCCACTCAACTACAGGGAGGAGCTGGGGGTGGGGGTCGGGGTAATATATGTCTTCACTGCAATTGTCTAATGAGTTGTTATTGGGAGAAATCAAGAAACCTTACGGGGAATCCAGCATACTTACATACTCAGAATCAGCCTCTCCTGGTCAGAGGGTGGCTGAGCTTGAGCAATCTTAGTATAGAGGAGTTATGAATTGCGCCCAGACTCTGTCCTGACCAGAGACCACTTAGGGCTCCTATTTTCAGGGACCTGTCCTCACACCTGCAGAGTGACCAAAAACCAAACGCACTGCCAACTCTCAGTGACCGTAGAGGGCAGAGTAGAACTGCCCCTGTGAATTTCCGGGACTCTGACTACAGGAGCAGAAAGCCCTCTCGTCTGTCTTCTGCAGAGCCCCTGGCAGTTTCAGACTGCCCACCTGGTGGACAGCAGCCCAAGGGATAACCACCATGCCGCCAGGGCTCCTCTGTGACGAGGAGAAGCGGTTCCAACGTCTGTGGTTGCTGTGGAAGCGAAAAACCAAAACAAGCCGGCCAGACTGTCGTTGGTCTGCCCCACAGGGCAGGGCAGAGCCAAGCTGCTCCCCGGGTTCCCAGAGCAGACACGCATGGGCACAGACAGCCTCATCTTTACCCAGGGAGGGCTGGTGAGTCCAAAATGCCAACTTTACGGTGAGCGACGCAATGCTTATTCCCCTGGCCACACCGGCTCTTATGGAAGTCAAGAGAGGGGTAAGAGCACATTTACTGCAGTTCAGTTGGGAAAACTTCTACTGGGGGAAAAAAACCGTATTGCCTTAAGTAAGACAAGAGTGTGAAATGCTAAATTCTAATTCCAGATGAGTCTTTGCTCCCATGATCTTCCTCAAGGGACCGTCTGTGGTACCCTGACTGCCGTGCCCCTTGGAAACTTTACTTAAGAGAACCACCTCCTGGCCCCCAAATGTCCACATGCTCAGTGCCCACTGCTCTCACGCAGCTATGCATGCCTACCACCCACGGGTGTGGGGCCAATCACGTTTTCATCCCCTGGGTCTCTGAGTAAGTTCAAGCCTGCTCACTTCACGAAGCGAGGACTCTCCCCAGGACTGAAGCAAAGCTGACACTCGCACTGACTTGGAGGGAGAACGGGACAGACGCAGGTCGTTGAGGAGTCAGCCAAAGAAGCAAGAATGCAGATGACGGCGGCCGTCTGCCCACGTCCAGGACAGCAGGAAGGGGGGAGAGGGAGAAGGAGACGGGACAGATGGGCGGACAACAGTTTAAACATACAGGTGCAGCCCCTGAGAGCCAGAGGGCCATGTTTTCCCGGCTCCAGCAGGCTTTCCACTTGCCCACCTCGCTCTCCAGTGAGTGGGAGAGACTTCACTTCCCTTCTCTGACGGGGTGCCCCGCTCCCCGGGGGTGCCCCCCCGCCCCGTTTCTGCCTTCACGGCTCTTGCTGTGCCGCTGCTGACTGTGGAGCCTCTAGAATCTGTGCGGCTTGTAGTCTTAAACGTTTCAGAGCTGCAAGGGCGATGGCTGGACGGCAGACAAGGATGAATAAGTGAGCCCCAAGCAGCAGCAGAGCAGGCAGCGTGCAGGAGGAGGCCATCGGCGTCTCTCCTCATGGCTGGGACGGGACTGGACGTACGGCAAACATTTTTGTTCTACTGGCGGGGGAGGGGGGCACCGAAGTTTCAAGTCAACATCAGCTGGGTCATAAGAAATGCTTACAAGGGCACTAAGTGGACATGAAGGGATGCTGACTACAGGTGTCACTCCTGTGGCTTCCACAATCCCTGACCGCCTCGAGGCCTTAATCTGTCCACGGGGGATGTGGCGACAGAAACCCTGTACCTGGTGCGTTCCCTGCTGTGTTCCTACATGCTCGAAAGGCCTGGAGGCACCAAGAAAGGAGGGGGGGGGGCTCTGCTGTGGGCCCAAGAAATGCCTGTCAATTCCCGCCCCATGCACGGACCCCAGAAACAGAACCAACCAGCACAGAGGGCAGTGGAAACGGAACAAAACGCAGAGAAGCCCTGCCCACCCGCAGAGAGGCAACGGGCCACCAAGCCAGGGCCGAGCTGCATCGAGATGGAGACCAGCAGTGGGAATCTCAGGTTGGGGCAGTGACGGAGCTTGTCTGAGTGCTCCCAGAATTTTCATTTTGTTTTTAACACCCCCTCCTTTGACATCTGCCGTCACTTTGTAACCGTCACGTAGCTGACGACGGTGGCGGTGGGCATCAGTGTCCTGGCTGACAGAGGCAGTCACCAAGGAGCTCTGTGGGAGCGGTGTTAGATGGACCACAGCCTGGCCGCACATTCAACACCCTGGAGCCATAGGGTCACCCCCACACGAACTGGTTTAATTTAAAAAAGCTTAAAAACACACAGACAGTGGAGCGCTGCGGTGCGGGGGCACAGTCCCACGTCAGCGCCGTCTTAAAGCTACGTCCTATCCTGCCCAGGTGGCGACCGCAGAGGGCAGAGTCCCACCTGCAGTGGGCAGGGGTAGGGGGTACAGAAAGCTGCCAGAAGGGTGCCTGCCAGCAGCCCTGCCCGCCCCCTTCATGCCCACACCACGCCGAATTCTGCACACGTGGCCTTCCCCCACAGCCTGGCATGCTCTGCAGAGCAGGAGCAGGGCGGCTCCTTCCTTGCCCAGCGTGTGCCTCCTCAGAGCGGGGCCTCCTTCCCTGAAAGTGCAGACAGCCGAGATGCCCGCGGGCCGAGCCGGGTAATGCCGCCCTCTTTGTGCTTCCGAGATTCACAGGTCCGCTTTGGTGGCTCTCCTCAGTTGGCAAACTGCTCATAGAATGCAAACTTGATCCGCTCTATGTGATGGCAGAGTTTGATGGCAGGGCCCAGCTTCAAGTCCATGCACTCCTGCACCGTGGGGAGGGTGAGGAGCAGCAGGGCCTGCCCATCGATCTCCTGCAAAAGCACACAGGCAGGTGATCTAGGACGTGCATGCCAATGACCATGGACAACCCCTGGCCACTTGGACTTGCTCAAAACCCAGGTCCCTGTGCCCCCGAATCTCGGGCCGTGAAAGACGGGCACAGCTCTGTCTGACGAAAGAACCTTCAGAATGCAGCTGTGCTCAGGGCGAGAAGCCACCCCTCAGAGCTCTTCTGTCTGCAGACTTAGGGAGCCAGCTCACCCCTAACCAGCAATGAATTGAGCCACAAGAAGACATCTGATTAGAGGGCTCTTTCTAAACCCAGGGGCGCTGGCATTGTCCGGCTACATGCTGGGCTGCAATCCCCAGGGTCTGCAGTTCATAGCCACCAGCCACCCACTCTGTGGGAGAAAGGCTCCACTTTCTACTCCCATAAAGAATGAGACTCTCGGAGGCGCGCAGGGGCAGTTCTACCCTGTTCTATGGGGTCGCTATGAGTCAGCATCAGCTCAATGGCAGGAAGTTGGGTTTGGGTTTCTAAATCCGAGAGAACGTATTACTACAATCCTTAACGCTGTCCTATTGCGTCACATTCATGACGTTCAGTTTGGAAACACCCTCTCCTCCCCAGCTACCAAAACAAAATTTATTTCAATATTCACTTTGCCTTAAAATTGATCACCAGAGCCAAACCCACTGCAGATGCCTTGGGGGTGGGGGGCAGCCAGTCCCCATCTTGAGACAAATGAGCACAATCAAGCACAAGGATGCTTGATTCTAAGTCATGGAGAGACTTGGGGCTGGAATGAAATTCTGATCAAAGATTGGAAGGAACGCCGTGATCACCTGCTTCAACTGCGGTGGTAGTCAGAGAAAGAGCATCTTTCCTAAGACAGCCAAATGGCTGACAACTACTCCACCTGCAGGCCTCCGCCAACCCCCACAGGTGCCCGTCGTTACCTGGTCCAGGAAGATTCTTGCCAGAGGGGCACAGTCGGTGGACCGGATGAACCGGACGACGTCCGACACACTCCACTTCAGGGGGTTACTGTCCAGGTGAAGCCTTTCAGCCACCTCGAGCCTCGTGTCCTGCAGATTCCGCAACAAAAACAAACGGGTTAGAACGCGGTTCTGTTCTGCAAACAGAAAACAGCCTCCCAGTGCACGCCCGCCCTCTTCCGGGTCATTACTGACCATGCATTCTTCTCCCTCTTTCAAGGCACCCCCAGGGTTCCTGCACAAACCACCGACCTCGGCAGCCGGAAAGGGGAAGGTACTCTGAAACGTCCCTTCCGTCCGCTCTGGCTCAGCTCTGCAAAGGGAGGGCGGAGTGCCCACGAGGGGGCTCGGCCACACGCGGCCAAGGCTTCTGTCTGTGGGCTCTTTCTTCATGATGCCCACTGGACCGCCACCCTCTTCAGTGTGCACATACACTAACACACACACACACACACTGTGTACCTATACAGCAGGTTCTGAAGTGGCCTCACCAAACTTGGAGAAAAAAAAAGGGCACTGCAGGTCTGTGTGTGATTTGCCACGTCAGCAACATGCACACTCGAAACCCACGTGCCAGGTGGTTGCGCATTTGCAAAGGACAACATATTATCTGCATGTTTTCTGCGTGACTACACAGTAAGAGACATGGAGAAACCTAGGCATGTGATGGAGCATACAGTCTTCCCCGAGCGGCAGGCCATCAATAAGCTCCCAGTAGCCTTTTGTTTAAATTAACTTCACGCAGGCTGCTGCCGCTCTTGGGAAATGTGGCCGTGAGCCCGTGAGCCCGTGACCCCGCAGACACTGGCATACTCTGAGCTTGAGACCCAGGACGTGGGTGCAGCGCCAGCCGGCATCGCCGACACTCAGATTCTGGGGGCAATCCTGGGAAAGGGACTGCTTTCCGCACGGGCACCTTTGGTGAAGGGGGTCTGTTCTCGTCGTCCGAGAACGATAAAGTGCGTGGCTCCCTCTTCCTCTGGCCCCGGTCTGCGGGCAGTGAGGCGGACACCTCGCTCTGCGTCGGGGAGGAGCAGCAGGACTTCTTCTCAGACAGCTCCGACTCCTCCTGCAGCTCGTCTTGCTGCTCGGACAGGCTGCCCTCGCTGAGGGAGTCGCCGTCCCCTTCCTCGGGCTCGTCCTCGTCCTCACCCCCGCTCCCCTGGAGGGAAAGGACAACACTGAGCCGACAGCCCCCCTTCCACAGCCCAGGCCTGATCCCCTGCTGGGCCCCCGGCTCGCGGGCATCCTGGCGGGCTTCCAGCGTACCTGTGGCGAGCCGGCTGGTGTGTTGTCCACTGACGGGGATGAGTGTCTCTTCTTATGAACAAAAGCGCTTTTCCGCCTCTTCCTCCTCTTACTGGCCTTCTTCAGGACACACGCCAGGCGGCCGTGCCCACCAGGCGGCCTCCCGACCCTCTTGTTCCTCTTCTTCCCGTAGTAGTGTGCTACCGGCAGGACACACAGGGACACAGCCATTAGGTCTGCGCCAACTCACAAGCACAAGCGCTCTACCGGCGTGGTGCTCGATGCAGGCGCCCTGGGTTCCACTGGGGTCTGCACCAGGTGATGGGCAAAGGCATGAACCCCTGTAGCCCCCGCCCCGTGGGGAGCAACCCTCCGACTTGGACAGTTTCCTTGAGCCCTGAAGGGAGCACTGTTCTCCCTCCTTCCCGCGACCACAGACCGGCAGGACTTCCTGTGTGTTGTGGTGACTAACGCCGGCCCAGGCAACTCTCCTGCTGATGAGCAGCACCAAGCCTGCTCCCAGGAGCCCAGTTACTGATGACACTGTGATGAAATGTTCCTGCACAGGGTGTTTCTGTGAGCGCCCTGCTGGGGCGGAGTGGGCCGGGCACAGCGACAGTGAATGCCCCAGGAGCAAAGGTCATGCAATGGTTTATTTGGGGGGGGGGGGGGGGTGCGGTAATGCTCATGGCATGTCCTTGTTGGCTTTCAGGAGGGCCAGAGAACGGGAGCATCTACCTGTCACCAAGGTGTTCTGAGCGAGTGAGAGCTTCAGCAGACAACCCCAGGAATGCTCCCCAGAGTCCTTCCCAACGACCCTGACAATGCTTCTTGTCCATTGGCCCGGCCGGTCGGCGTCCCAGAGGAACCACACGAGGCGCCGTCTTGCCAGCCCTGGTTGGGCCTCTCCTCACGTCCTCTCGTTTCTAATCTCACAAAGACCCTCAAAGGGGCATCTTTTTCTTCCTTTAACCATGTGCCAAAGACCGTGTGGCACAGGTGACCCCTCAGCCCTTGTTCCCTGGGGATGGACTAGGTGGCTGACTCATCCCTTACAAAAAGGGTCTTCACCTGAGGGTGCTCACGCTGAGAAAGAGAGTTTGCATCTTTCACTTTTACCCTTTCATTCCATTTTCCCACGACTGTCTGAAGCCCCCTCCAGCTGGGACAGGCCTATCGCCTGTTTGTGTGGGGCCTTCAAATGAATGTAAATTAGAATAAGAAATGTAAAGGTTGTTAAAAAAATAAACCCACACAAACAGAATATGCAGCAGAGACCAGAGGGGGCCATAATCTAACACCGTTTTACCAGCCAGCCCCCAGGGAAAGAAGCTTCCACACACGTCTGTGGGGGCAAGTCCGTTCCAGGACGGACGGACTCCGGCTGACTCACTGTATCTAGTCTTGGTAAGCACAGAGCAGTTCTCGGAGCACTTGTCCAGAACCATCCGAGGGCCGAAGAGGTTAGGGCAGCATTCCAGCTGGATGCAGGTTTGCCGGCAGAATTCCATCACCCGGTCAGCTGTTTTCACGATCTCCACGGTCGCGCGGTAGCTCTTTCCTTTATATCTGCCAGTGGAAGAAACACATGCCGGGGCACCGGGCTGGTGACAGCTCTGAGACACATCATGTGTGCTGGCCGACAGGCAGAGGTCTCCGCCTTGTGGAACATTACACGCAGCCCTTTAGCGTGCAGGGGCCCAGACTACAGCAATATGGAAGTGTTGGTGCGTGTTGTGTCACACGTCCGATTCACCGTCTGATAAGCTGCGACAACTGAAGACTAAATTATCTTTCCACGAGTAAGAAGGGGCTTCGGAAGCTTTGTGAGAAAATGGAAGTGATATTGGCCCCCTCCCACCCTCAGAACTCTTTGAAGGCCCTCCTAGAGAGTCTCCTGATTCCTGTTCTTAATCCAAAGACAACTGCCACACGGCGAGTCCACGCTAGCTGTGCTGACGCCTCTCTCTACACAGGCGTCGGCCTCGAGGGTGGCCCTGCTTTCAGCCTGGCGACTCTCCAGGGGCGGAGGCGGTCAGAAAGCAAGAGGAGGAGGCCGGCTGTCTCGGCGAGATGGAAACGCGGTGTCAAGTCAACTGAGGCACATTCCCTCCTGCTAGCTGCTCGGTTCGGCATATTTTAATTGAGGACTGATCTGGGGTGAGATGGAAATTTAGAAAACAAGCCAGGCCGCTGGGCCTTCTGTAAGTGGGGTGGACGGTGAGGTAGAGTGCAGAGCGGGCACTACTCACTTGGCTTTGAGGACCTCGCCACACCCGTGCCACCCCGAGTCCTGGTCCAGCTGGAGCTCCCGGAGCACGCGGCTGGGCTTGTAGGCAGCATTGATGAGCAAGGTGAGTACCTGAGCTCCGTGTGCCAAGCAGACGCGACATGCGGCGGGGAAGGAGAGACAGAGAGAGAGATTGTTAGAACTCCCTGCACGTGAGGGCCACGGGGACATTCGTCCTCCTGACGATAATTAACAGACAGTCACGGGCCATCAACAACCAAGACAGAGCAGCTGCCCGAACGAAGCAGCTGGTGAGACGGCATTGGGAACACCTCTGAAGGCAGACGTGCAACACGCTGCTCTGCAGGCACTGCCACAGATGCCTCCTGGTCCCTTTCTGGCCACGGGCAGGTGGCACAGAGAACCGTGGCTGCTCGGGTGCCGTATGGGCAGCTGGGCTACCCCATGGCTGGAGTCCAGCCCAGAAACGCTGGCTGCCCCCGACTCTGCCTTGCCACCTTGCGGTCTGAAAGGCTTGACACTTCCACACATCAGTTACGCCGCACAGTTCGCCGACGGGCTGGGCTGCTCGGGGAGTCCAGCCAGGGTGTGGTTTTACCGTGGTCCAGGGATGATGCCACACACCCCCCTCAGTCTCAGGCTAATCCCAGGTAAGCTCACACCTGCACAGGTCTCACCTGGTCGCTGAGAGAGGTAAACCTGCTCCACTGAGAACTGCTTAGGGGAATGCGTGGCCCTTAGGAAGCAGAGATGATTACGGTCACAGGTCACTGCCTAATGTGTGACCTCTGCTACACTCTAGAGTTAGTTAGCACATGGTGTAAGCCGGCCCGTGAGGCTGCTGTGATTCTGGGTCAGAACCTCACCTCTCTGAGGACCAGCACACAGTTCCCTGGCCCCACACACCGAGGCAGCTCTGCAATCCTCCCTTTGTTGAGGTACGGCCCTGAGAAGCAACGATGGTTGAAGTATATCTTTGGACAGCAGTATTTCCCATTCATCATAACTGGAAATGAACAGGAACAGAGACTCAGAACAGAGCCAGGCTCGGCGGCACGGTCCCCACATTGCTTACGGGGGGAAAAAGGCAACAAGCACAGACACCCATTACATAGAAGTCTGAAAGCGCCCGTGAAAAACTTTACACGTACAGTAACTCTGCCAAAGAGTCTATCAAGCAATGTCCTCAGTTTCATCCCAACCAACTCCAGGTGAATGTCATTACATCACCCAAAGCCCCGCGCAACTACCATAAAAATCAACGGAGGCTTTAGTTCAGGACCCGAGACGGCTTCTAGGTCTTCAATCACCAGCTCTTCAGGCGTCCACTCTGGAGGACACAGGTCGACAGAATCATCTAGAACCACCGTCCGTCTCCTCGGAACATTCCAACTGCGCCCATTACTGCTCTCTTCCTCCAAACTAGCTGCTTCTCAAGGTCCTTCCTTGCCTGTCTTTAGCATTTTTCACAAACTTCCGCTCACGTTGGACTTCAGTCTTTCTGACAGGCTTCTTTCTGCCACTTGGCAATGCTGACCTCACCTTAATGTCCTGAGCACCGAGCGCACCAGAGAACTCCATGCCACACTTTCTTTGAGTTCCACCCCCCACCCCCACTTCTCTGGAGCCATAGGGGCAGTGAGGTAACTGCCCATCACATGGACAAGACCCCATTCTAACTCTCGGGGATGCCGCACGTTACCAAGTACCAGGGCTTGCTCTGTGCCGTCCCACTATGACCCTTACGGGAGGGGATGGCCACGGCTGGCTTGTGCAGCACCGTGGTGGGGTGGGGGCCGCACCACCAGGATCCAGGTGAGTGCCAGAAACAAACCAAACTCGCCGCATGGAGCCATTGCGGCCTCCCAGCAAGCCTCTGTGGGGCTCCCAGACTGCGGCCCCTTCTCCGAGGGCAGCCTGGCGGATCTGGGGGTTTCTGAAGTCACGTGGCTATTTCAACATAATCCAAGTCGAAAGGCCAGCTTCTTGGCTGTGCTGGCCCTATTTCAAGGGCTCCACAGCTCCGTGGGCCAGGGGCTGCCTTCCTGGACGGCCAAGATGCAGGAGTGCGTCCTGGGGGGCGCTTTTAAAGCAAGACAACCTGCAGGAGAACCCAAGATTGTACCAGACTATCTCGACATTTGGCACGTGTGACCTGTCATTTTGCCAAAAAAATCCCCCAAACCAACTCTACCGGATTCATGACAACTGGAAGGGATTTTTACGGAAGCGCAGACACACGATGCAGGAGAGCTTCCACACCACCAGGGTACAGACAGGCTCATCTGCACACAGAGACCCGTGTCAGCAGCCTCAAAGCAGGAGACGGAACCCTAATTAGAGACTAGACGCATCCTTTCTCCCAAAAGGTACACACATGTGCTCTCCTCTGAGGGGGCCCAGAAAGACCCCAGTAGCATAGTGGTTATGCACCGGGTCGCCAACCACTCGTCAGCAGTTCGAAACCACCAGCGGCTCCTCAGGAAAAAGATGAGGCCGCCTGTTCCCATAAAGAGTGTCACCGTCTCAGAAGCCCGCAGGGGCAGTGCTACCCCGTCCTACAGGGTCACTAGGTGCCGGCACTGACCTGATGCCAGCGAGTGCGTTTGTAGAGCGGCATGATGGTTAGGCACAGGCTGGCCATCCAAACTCGCCCTCCACCCACAGAGAAGCAGCCCTGGCCGTGCATAAGGGCTGCACAGACAGAGCTGGGAA